TTTTATCTTCCGCTGCCCCTGTCGGGGTTTAAAGTGTTTAACCTATTCTGTGAAAATCTGTCACCTGTGCCTTTTAGTGCTTGCTGTTCCATATATATGTTTTGTGTGTTCCATCTTAAGTTCTTAAGATTCAGTGCTTAAGATTTTGTGTCGGACCATTTACCGTTTAGTGCTTATGATTTGAAAGAACTATTGGAAGTTATTGAAGTACCGAAAATACCTGGAGGCTGTCAATAGTGTCAATCGAATATGCAGCTTGGCAACAGCACAAAACTTCTGGGAACGAATGTTTTTGTGATCGTGTGACGATGGAAAAACGGGGACTGGGAGTTACCGACTACTGGATACTGAAGAACGGGAGGACAAGAATTTTCTGCGTATTCACCTTTCCTCAGTAATCTTACATCTAGCAACAGTGTCACAATTGCTAGGCTGGAATGCCGTTGATATAAACGCCATTCTGCTTAAAGCACAGAACTGTCCGTTCCGACAGTAGTTGAACACTTTCTCAGGATGTTTTCTTAAGTATTTTTTATGAAAGAGCACCTTCTTAAATCTTCGGCTAGTCAGTAAATGGACCCAATATTTGCGAAATTCTTGATAACGTTTTCTTTCTCTGCTTCTTAGTATTAGAGCAAAAACACATACAGCTCTCTTGAACTCCATCTTCAAACTGTGAAGGTCATGTCAGTTTCGCGGTTTTCAACTATAGTGTGTGCGTCTCGCACGGTTTTGCGGTTTGGTGGTTTACCGCTTGCGGGAAAAAACCGTAGAGAACTATTTGTATATCCCATTTTGGCAAATATGGCGAAGACTGATAAAATATAAATTAGAGGATTTACCTCGATGAGTTCTGTTTTATAAAAATTAGGTATGTACACTGTATGCGTTATAATAAAAATAATGTTAAAATGTCTCATCAAATATTTCCGATTTTGTCGTTACCACCGTCATCACGGGGAGATTCCCTGGGTGCAAGAAGACTTAAGAGTCTCAAACACAATCTCTATTGGGAGCCTACAAACATTTTCTGACGTTTAAGCAAACAAATATCAATTTACTTGAAGCATGAGTAGGCCAAATGTGACTCATTCTGCACATACAAGTCCACGAATTCCGAATTATCAAATAGAACCTGTAAATTGTTGATCGCGACACCTTGCCCTTCCATTACATAGACAGATTGTAACTGTTCACGTACGTATATCCCGGAAGCCTTGGAGTTTCTTTTAAAAAGTCTAAGGATACCCTATCAAGATCGGTATTCTCGCTCTTTAGCTTGAAAGCAATACGTTCTCAAGGCGCTTAGCGAGTCATGTATGGCAAAAGCGCTAAGCGTTTGGTTTGCTTATTCACGATGCTGTGCGAACGAAGATCAATCCGCTTAACACATCTTGACAACGGAGCACATTTTTCAATGTTACCAAAATACTCGTGGTTAAAAGATATGGCCGGCTGAGGGTTACCGTATAATTTCTCTCTATGTAAAGAAACGCAAAGATGACAGTATCTAGAAATATAATGCTATACCTTATTTATCGACATTATAATATGTAGTTAATTAATCAATTATTTCGCAATAAAAGCATCAGTGCTTCATTGGCATTGTATACATTTTTTGTCAGTCTTGCAAATAAGTGTAGTTTATTATCACTTACTTTTTCTCCAAATTTTGCACATACTGCTTTCTTAGGCAGTATATTTCCAAATTTTTTTCACAAAATCCGTCAAGTCAAAGGGATCATCGGCCTCCAATCTTTGCATCCTCAAGTTTGCAATATTTCTGATTAAATTAACGACAGATAACTAGTAAGGCGCTAGGTACTGTGAGTTTATTCAAAAACTACCACAACATCCTATCAATAACACTAAACACCCTAGATATAAATAAAATCGCAGATAGCGATAAGCAAAATATGTAACTGACTGATTTGTATCTTGAATATTTGTGAAATGAAATAAAATACCTTCATTTTTTTCATATTCATCTATTATTGAAAAATAATATCAGACAAATGTCCGCCTCTAGAAGCTACGCAAACCTGAGCCCCCTTGATTACATTTTCGATCCCTATTTGGTAGGTTTATAAACCCTATTTTTCAAAGATCCCCTTAAAGAAAATCAGGAGGCGTTAAATCCGGTGACCTTGGTGGCCAGTTGACATCACCAAATCGAGAAATTAAGCGTCCCGGAAATATTGTTCGCAAAAGATTCATTGTTTCCCTAGCTGTGTGACAAGTTGCTCCGTCAGAACCACATGTTTTGCAGTTTAAATTGTTGGATTTGAGGAGCACCATATCGCGGTAGCGCTCGCCAGAATGAGTAAAAGAATTACCTGCAGCGTCTTAAAAGAAGTAAGATCGAATGCCACGTCCATACCAAACACCGCACCAAACTGTGACTCGACGAGGATGTAGTGATCGTCCATGGATGACATAGGGTTCTCTAATGCTCAGATACTACAATTCTGCTTATTAACAAATCGCTTTGAGTATTCAGCTGCAATATTGCATGACTGTATTGTCGGCGATTGTCATGGTCACAAGGCTGTAGTTCTTGGGTTAACTGAATTTTGTATCGCCGCAAATGTCTTTTTTTGCAAATGATGTCATATTCGCTGAGCGACTTGAAACGCTTTGCGTTTTGAGGAACGAGAATACCTCCCCAGAGAGTAACATTGGAGGACTTCACAGCATTGGCATCTTCAACTGCAATATTGCTCTATATGTATCCAAAAGTTTGCCAGCTTATATGGATCATTTTTGGCATTTTGTGCTTTGACGGACATTGCAAATGATGATGGAACGTTGGTAATACTCTTCCATCAAACACACTAAGCGAATTCGTGCTAAGCCCGAGTCGTCGTCACAGTCTGTGTTTGGATTGCAGCGCTATAGATAGGAGCGCCGTATCAACTCCGATGAAGCCAGGCAGGCGGGTGACTCGCGACAAGTTAAACTTGGGTTTAGTTTTGGGTATGCGAGTCGCATAAGCAATCCGGATCAGTGTCTCACTGAACGTCAGTGAACTTTGCAGAGGGGCACGAAGCAAGCTGGAATCGATAACGACATGAGCGGAGGGCTTTCTCTGGCTGAAAATGCATAGCAACCATTGCAAATATTGTGTTCGCGATGTAAACTCTCAACTAAGGGAATAATTGGGTCGACCTGTTCTCATAATGGTTGGACTAAAGAGTGGGCGAAGTCTCACTCAGCCTGCGTCACCATTAACTCAAGTATACGCGGTGGCGTACATAACAGTCCAAGCATTCGGAGACAGACCGTTAGAAGCAATAGTAAGGTGAAGAGTCAGGCAACTCATTTCATATAGGGTTTTCATTTCAGAAGTCACTTGAAACAGAAAGGTTATGCAAGTCGGATCATACGGTACCTTCCACAGCTCAACACATTCAGTGATTTTTTTGTGCTCAAGATAGTAAGACGAAAATCGGAAAATTAGTGCACGAACACTGTATTTATCTTAACATAAAAATAAGAAAAAAGGTGGCGTTTTACTTTTACTTTTCGCACGTCTCCAAATTACTAGACTTAAACCGTACTGATGATAGCTGAAGGTGAAGATTATGGCTGCATTCAACACACAAAGGTAACAGTTGAAAGTTTCAAGATGATGGATTGATTGATCTCAGAACATTTTTGACACACCTGATTTTAAAGCTCCTTATGGGCACTTTATATGCCAGGAATATTGCTTGTAACTCAATTGTGACTAATCCATACCACACAATCTAAATGAACTGACTGCTATTTATTAACAGCATGATACCCCGATTGGTTACTAAGCCAATAAATTATACAATCTCGCTGAGGCTCAGAATTTACTACTGAAAGCAGGTACATTTTTGAGGAATACAAAAAACCCGACTGCAGTAACTAAACCGATTGGATTTTTTATTGCGCTGTCAAGGACCATTTAAGGCCACCCATAATGTCAAAATCTATCATGCCGCTTAGACTGTAGCCCGTGAATAATAATTTTAAGTTTAGAGTTTATTTTAAGTATAACATTTTTGTATTCTATGTCACTCGGGCTGTCAATCCAAATCTAGAGTCACGTCCTATGTCAAAATCCATGAAGCGTTTTAACCTGTAGCCCGTAAAATAGGAATTTCATGGTTGAACTTTTGTATTAAGATTCGAGATTTGATTTTTTATGAAAGTCAATGTCACTGGCAGTGCTAAGACGAATCCAACAATATCTCAGGTGTGAGCATCTATCAAACTGCTTAAGCTGTAGACTTACTTTCTATGCCATTATGCGAGGAAGTATTGTGATCATAAAAAATGTCGAAAATGGGATATTAAAAATTTGGGTTTGGGTAGTATGTAATAATAATAATAATAATAATAATAATAATAATAATAATAATAATAATAATAATAATAATAATAATAATCAAAATACGAGCAAATAATATAACACCAAAAAAGAATAATACTCCAAAGGGCTGGGGATTGGCATAGCCATTTTTCACCCCCGCCCGAATAGCTAAGGTAAATTCATTAAGTGCATTACTATATCTTACTAGGGCATATTATATACATTACATAAAGAATATGTAGCTGACTATAATAATGCTAACAAAACTTTAAAATATAATAGTAGTAGTAGACAACACAGGTATGGAGCAGACGTGTGTGTAGGTGCTCCGAGAAATACAACAACAATTGTGAGTTTTTACCACTGTCCGATTCAAATCTGTTAAAATCTAGCTGCAATTGACAGAATCGAATACAATTCTATAAAAGTGCAATATGCCTACAAGACAAAGTCAGGCAGATTTTGAGCAGACTTTAATAGATACACTAAAAAGGAAGAATGTTGCAGAAACTATTTCCAATATCATTCTTGCATTGCATTGAACGATAAATTTAAATATTACGATGAAAAAATTGCACAGTTAGAAGCAGAAATAGTAAATTTAAAAACAAATTTCAATGAATCTACTGGTATGTCAAAAGAAGGTGGACAAAAAACTATGGAGCAAAAACTAGACAATATTCAACAACATATGAAGAGTAATAATTTGAGGCTGATACAAATTCCAGGAGGAGAAATTCTTACTGACAAGGTTTACGATATTTTCACCAATAAAATGAAAGTGAATATTAACAAATCGGTGATAACTGCTATCTATAGGGTTGGTCGCACTAGCGATACAAAACCTAGGCATGTTTTGGTATCGTTTACTGACAATTCGATTAAGATGGCAACGTATAATAAGAAAAAGTTTCTTAAAGGCACTAAGATAGTTATTAAGGAAGATCTAACTCCGCATCGGTTGAAAGTAGTTAAAGCAGCTTCTGATAAGTTTGGTTTCAAGAACGTGTGGACGGTTAATGGCAACATTTTTGTAAAAACTGACAAGGGAGTGGAGAAGTTTAGTGTGAATGAATAGCTATGTTGTATTGGGGTATTTTTTTTCAACGTTTGGTATTCTTTGAACTTGTGTGTATTGTTAAGATTCATTACATATATTTTGTTTTTTGCTATTTTTTTTTAGCTCTGAATATAGATATACAGTTGATTGTATTTAGCGATGGATTTTTTGATTGGACACCTCAATGTCTGTTCACTTGTTCCTAAATTTAATAGTTTGCGGCAACATATTCTTCCTAAGAAATATGCTATGTTTGCATTATCAGAAACGTGGCTGAATGACAGTATAAGCGATGATACAGTATATATTCAAGGTTATAATCTTGTTAGGTTTGACAGAAGTACCAGGGGTGGAGGAGTAGGTTTGTATATAGATACTAAGTTGAAATATTCACAAATTGAGGTTTCACATAATACTGAACAACTTTGGGTCTCAGTTTCACTTAAAGGTAAGTCATACGCAGTTGGAGCAGTATATCGACCACCACATTTCAATTATAAATATTTTATCGATGAACTTGAAGAATCTTTATGTGTGGCTATGCTCCGTGAGGACAAAGTGATATGCCTGCTGTAAATATAAATTTCCTCGACACTGAGGCTGCACCTACAAATTATATGCTTGAAATGTTAGATTCTACAGGTATACAGCAAATAGTGGAAGAAGCTACTCATATTACTAATACATCGGCGACATTAATAGATGTTATTCTTTGCAACGATCCTTCAATGATCGAATCTAAGCACGTTGGCGGATTAGATTTAACAGATCATGGACTGATTTCGTGTAAGGTACTACAAGATAGACAAAAAATTGGACCACTCTTTTGCACTTATCGGAGCTTTAGGAGTCTTGAAATGGATAAATTGCATGCTGATTTGCAAAATCTTCCCTTAATTGACATATGTTACTTGTCAAATATTGACGAAAAGGTGCACTTGTTCAATCATTTAATTCTAACTTTGTTTGACAAGCACATTCCTTTGAAAATGTCCAAAATCACTAAGCCTAATGCCCCCTGGCTGAAGGATGATATAAGGAATTTGATGTGTAGTTGGGATGCAGCGAGGTCTAAGTATAGAAAAAATCCGAACGATTCAAATTGGAATGCATATAAAAAACTAAAAAACAAAACCAATCATGCTATTCTACATGAAAAAAGAAAGTATTTTGATAAAATTGCTCGGAGTAAGGATAAGAAATCTTTGTGGCGAGAACTTAATTCGCTTAGTATTAAGTCACAGAAGTCAAATATTCCTATTGATTTGCAAGATGTGGAACATATAAATAACTTTTTTATTGACAGCATACCTCGTGTGGCGTCTGGTAATCATATTGCTATATATTATGATCAAAACAAAATATGTAATTTAGAGTTCAATTTCAAATTGGTATCTGAGCAAGATATATTTGACGCATTAAGTAGGATAAAAAACACCAGACCAGGAAATGATGGCATTAGCATACATCTCGTCAAATTATGTGTCCCGTATATTTTACCATATCTGGTACATCTTATTAATACAATTTTTCTTGAGGAAAAATATCCAAAGTGCTGGAAAGTGGCCTTAATAGTGCCAATTCCAAAATGTAAGAAAGCTGAACAGCTATCAGATCTTCGTCCAATAAGTATTCTAGCTGGTCTCTCGAAATTGGTTAAAAAAACTATTGAAATACAATTAAGAACACATATTGAAAGTCAAAGTATCCTTCCTAAAACACAGTCAGGTTTTCGTCCAGGATACTTTTGCACCACTGCACTTGCTAAAATAACTGATGATATCATTCAGTCGAATGATCTGGGTGAGTCTACCGCTTTAATACTATTAGATTTCGACAAGCCATTTGACACAATTAACCATGATGTCTTGCTGTCTATCTTAAAGTCATGTGGATTGTCTACTGACAGCGTAAAACTTTTTAATTCATACTTAAGTGGCAGATCACAGTGTGTACAAGTGAAGTGAAGAATGAAATATCTAGTTCAAAGCCCACTACCATAGGTGTACCGCAAGGATCTATACTTGGACCATTGCTCTTCACTATATATACCAGTCAGATCCTTAAATGTTTGGAATTCTGTAAGTCACACGTTTATGCGGATGATACCCAGCTGTACTATTCTTTTCCTAGTTCAGATTGGCCAGCTGCCGAGTTGAAAATGAACAGTGACTTGACTAACCTCTCTAAAAGATTGCAAGAGCATTCATTAATACTAAATCCAAATAAATCAGCTGCTGTGATCTTTGGTAAAGACCGTTCTTATGTGATTGAGAATTTAAATATAACCATAAATAATATTAGATTAAAATACTGTGATAAAGTTAAAAACTTAGGCTTAACAATGGATTATAATCTGAGGTTTCGTGAGCACATATCAAACTGTATCAAAAAATCTTATCTGGCTCTAAAATTATTATATCCTCACCGAAATTTTCTCAATTTAGACATCAAAAGAATTCTTTGCGAAACCTTGGTTTTATCACAGTTTTCGTACTGTGTTCCAATTTATTCTGCATGTTTAGATTGTGATACATTCATGCGAATACAGAGAACACAGAACTCATGCATACGTTTTATATATGACATAAGAAAATTTGAAAGAGTTAGTCATAAGCTGAAAGAACTCCGGTGGCTAAATATGAAGGCTCGTTTTGAGATATTCACAATATTATGCTTTTATCATAAAATTTTAACTCTCAGGCAGCCTCATTACCTCTACGAGAAAATAACATTCAGAAAAGACATCCATTCCATAAATATTCGTTCGAAACAAAACATTACCGCTCCATTCCACAGAACTAAATTTTATGAAAGATCATTTACGTATAATATATATAAGCTATACAATCCTATCCCCCAGTACCTCAAATCATATGAAATTCACAAGTTCAAAGCGGTTTTGCGTGATTCTTACCTTGAATGTATAAAGTAGAATTATACTTACTGCGGAATTTCAATTTTATTTTGTTTGCAATCCATTTTTTTATTTATATTTTTTTTTTCATATGATGCATAAATGTACTTATATGTATTTGTATATCATTCTAGACTTTTACATTTACCACCACGTTCTCTTTTTGCTCTTTTTTTCAAACTTAATTGTCGCTCATATTGGCGTTTGTTTATGCGGTATGTATGGGTATATATGTATATATGTATATATGTATATATGTATATATGTATATATGTATATATGTATATATATATATTATTCTAGACTTTCTTTTTTTTTAAATTTATTACCACATCTCTCACTCTTCTATCTTATTTTTTTTTAAAACTTACAGGCTGTTCATATTGATGTTTTTATATGCTTGATGGTTGTATTTACTGGCATAATGTTTCTTACAATTTCAAGGGATGAGTGGAAGAGCACTAGATAGTGAACTCCCCCTTGTGGTTTTCAGACAGTCGACATTTGTTTTATTTATTTTTTTATATTTTCCTTTTTTTTGGTTAATACTCATGTTTCTCTTTCTGTTTTTTTTTTTTTGAAAACTGTTTGGAAATAAAGGCATTTATTATTATTATTATTATTATTATTAATAATGAGATTCATTCAACCACCTGTAGATTCATTAAATTGTAACTGTACTAGCATTCTTTTGAAGTCTCTTTTGAAGCTGTGAATTTACGTTAATTTAAAAAGAATTGGGTGATCATTTAGTATCCTGGGAGCTATGTAATAGACACATTTTTTAAATTTTAAGGTAGTGTGGGCTGGTATATTATAACAATGTTCATTACTCAGGAACAGTTGATGGAGTGAAGATGTTTTCTGTAATGTGTCAAAAAGATATTTCGGAGATTTATATTTTAAAATCCTAAATAGTAGAACAGCATAGAGAAGTAACGAGCGATATTTGAACTTTAAAAGATTTTGTTTATCTCATCGAAACAAAACATCATACAATGGTTTTGTAAAACTTCATTTTTTTGCATTTCCTCATTGAGAGAGGGTAATATACAGCACTACAATAATATAAATGTGTGAAGATTAATGCATTAACAAGTTTTAGTTTTATATCACTTGTTAATATTATACTTATATCACCATAGCGATTTGAGACTTTCAAAATTTAAATTCTTATCAAGTAATATTCCCAAATTTTTTGTTTCTTCAACAAATTCAATGTTAATACCTTCTAAAAATATGTTCGTATTTATTACTTATTTACATTTCAGAATCGCTAGTCTAGAACCAACACAACATACTTTGCTTTTCAAGGGATTGAGCTTCAAACAATGATTTTTTGAGTACTGTTCAATTATGTCTAAATTTTTATTAAGTTCTAATATTAAAGAATTTACATCGGTTGGTTCACATGGTTTGTAAACTTGTACATCATCTGCATACAAATGTACATTCCAGTCAGATGATATATGTTTTATCAAATCTGAGGTATAAAAAGTAAATAAAGTCGGGCCTAAAACGCTTCCTTGTGGAACACCAGAGTTCAAAGCTCGTAAAGTAGATACTTTACCATGGAATTTTACACATTGAGGTCTATCAAACAAGTAATTACTAAACCACAACATGACATTTCCGGTCAAACCATGATGGGTGCAGTTTTGCACACGAAACTCTGTGATCTACCATGTCAAATGCCTTGCTGAAGTCTAGCATGACTAGTAGCGTTATCATGCCATCGTCTATCAATTTCACTATATCACAGGAACTTTTAATATACTATACATCAGTCTGACTGTCAGCCTGTCGGTCCATTAATCTTTGGGCCGTCTGTATCTTGGAAAATAGCGGCGGGGTTTGAATCAGCTCTCCACACAAGGCTTAATACTACGCCAAGGACTAAATAGCTTGGTTGTTTTTGAAAATCGCATAGTAGCGACAGACCCATCGACAAGAAACAAACAAATAATCATTCCGTTTAAGATGTCAAAATTCATCAAGCTGTTTGGCCAATAGCCCGCGAAATAAATTTCTTTGATACATAAACACCCACCCACGAAAAAAGTTACACCCGTTCGGAGGCAGTCGGGTAACAAGCCCCCCT